CGCGTCCCGGCACGCGAGATCCGGCCCGCGCCGAGATCCCCGCGCGAGGAGATGAGGGGGACCCCGCCGCCGCCGGCGACGACCGGGCTTCGCCCGCTCGCGCCCCTCGGCGGCGGCGAGGGGGGGGGGGGAGGAGGAGGGGAGGAGAGGCGGCGGCGCTAGGGTTTCCTCCCGGACGCTCGCGGGAGCGTCGCGGGAGGAGGGGGAGGAGGGGGAGGGTCAATTGTGTTTAGAGGTACTGCTTCCCCTACTCGTCCTAGTTTGCCAGGAGCGCTGATGAAAAGATGATTTGATTTGACGGGTGAAGTTACCTGTAGGGGGGCTCTGCCATGTCAAGAGGAAGCCATCGCTGATGAGACGCTCGTAGTCGCTGGCGTTCACCTCGCCTGCCCACGTCCCCAGCACCGGCATGACGGCCGCGTCACAGCCCTCGTGGCCGCCGCCGTAATTGGTCGTCTCATAGTAACGCCCTCCGGCGCGGGCAAACACCTCGCTCTCGTCCCCGCACCTCATCCTCGTCTGCACCAGCTCCCTATCCTGTGCCAGAGCCGCCGCCCCGGCCGCCTTGGTGCAATTGTACAGGATGAGGTTCATGTTGACGGGCGCGATCCTAAACCGGGACCGGGGGCCCAGCTTGACGGAGGTGTTCCACATCGGTAATCCACAGCTGCTAGAAGCGTGCAACAGTTCCAGCTTGCCACGATCAACGACATGCAAGCTGTGTTCCTCGTAGAAGATGTTGATGATTACAAAGCCCAAGCTGATGGCTCCAGAGTTCAGTAGGATTGGAGTAGTGCCGTTGTCACGGCAACTGACCTCGAATTCCGGGGAACCACATGACCTTCCCGTGTCCCAGACGGGGAGCCAGAACGGGTGAGAGATGGTGGTGTTGCCGCACTTCCTGGCCGAGCAGGCTTCCCCATGTTCCTTGGCCGCAGCCACCGCGAGCATCAGTGGTAGCCACAGTGCCCAGAAGGAACAACATCCCGGAGGCATATGAGCAGGAGTAATAAGACTTGAAAAGGTTGCAGTGAAACAGCAAAGGGGGATTGGCTACAAGTATGAGACAATACGGTAGTCTAAGGCTCTAAGCAGGAATGATATATGAGGACAGACGGCAGAGCGAGTGGTTCAAATTTGAATAGAAAACTGGTCGTCCACAGATACGCCAAGTGATCCCTTTGACTGGCAAGCCATGACTTGCAAAATTTCAGGGTCCCCCTTTGACGGGGAAAGGCATGACAAACGCCATCATGGCCCCGTGATGTGACTGGGAACCAAGATGCTTAGCCTGATCAATTCGGTTCCGGCATCTTCGTGCTCTTGTCTTCTACTATCTGGATACTCCCTCAGTATAAGTGACAATACAATATAAGACACTGTAGTGTAAAAAACACTCTTATATTACGTGACAGAGAGAGTAGATTCTGATCTCGATACAACTTCACACTTGGCAGGTTACTTCTTACTGTATCCCATAGAAAAGAAGGTTCTATAGCATGATCAATCACCGGGTTGCGTATTTTTTAGAATTTGCGTTTAGAAGGGATAATTCGAGTTAGAACGTGGAGTTCACATATTTTATTCAGAATTTTTTGGGGAACAAATTTTATTCAGATATATATGCAATTTAGATTGGCCAGTTTATGGAAAATCATTTCTATTCTCAGGCATTGGAAGGCAACGGCCAAGGGCTAAGGTTCAAAACCCGGATAGCGGGCTATGCTGTCCGGACTCCACCACTGTACGCAATTCCAATTCACCACTCATTGCTACAGATTGTCAATAAATCGCATGGGAGCGAGCGTGATGGTTCAGCCCTAACATTGGCACGAGTCGCGGGTGGTTCTTGGTGGTTTTTTCAAGTCATCGTCTTTTTTTTTATGATTAACATTGGTTCCCTTCCTTTTTTTCTTTCATTTTTTTTGTGTTTGTCGCTTTTCATTCTTAGGTTTACTTTTTTTCTTTTTTCTAATACATGAAAATTCATGAACCTCTGAAATATCATAAACATTTTAAAAAATCCATGATTTTGAAAACACATGAGCATTTCAGTAATTCAATAAACTTTTGAAAACATCATGAGTTTCTGAATCCATGAACATTTTTTAAATTTTGTGAGTATTTTTAAATTTATAAAATACATTATAAACTTTGGGCACATTTGTAGAAGTAATATATAAACAATTCAAAGGCCCTCACATGGACTGATCATGTTATACTGACAATCCATTGCATAAAGCGATGAATAATAGCACCCACCATTGTGGGCCAACGCGGTGCAATTCGGCTGTAAGTTTCGAGAAATAAACATTAGCCCATAACTCTATATGTCTGAATACCTCTGACTGGCTCTCACTGGATTATTCTTCAGAAGAAGTGAACATAGCCAATTTTGGCCATAGACTTTTTTCAAAAGTGAATCAATCTGTGGTTGGTTAGAGAGATAGTGGTATCCCCATCCCACTAGGGTTCAAGTCCTGGTGCTCGCGTTATTCCTGGATTTATTTCAGAATTTTCGGTGATGCGGTTTCAGTGAGAGGAGACGTTCCCCTCGACGGCGAGGCGTCTATGGTGACTCCGTAAACCTCAAGATAATATGCCGGCTCAGTCTCTCGAAGGTTCTCGTTCGGATAGGATGTAAGTGTGTGCGTTCATAGAGGTTAGTGTATGCGCGTATGTATGAGCGTTTTGCGTTTGTACCGTGTTAAAAAAACTTGTTTCAAAAAAATAAATTGGCCATAGACTTGAGGAGTTCAGAGTTCAGACTAGACTATCAACTCAACCTTATCCTCGTTTGGTGACTAACATTAACATGATGATTGATTGCTTCGTTCGGTACGGGAAATCCAAGCCAATTAGGCACTGCAAATCCTAGCTCAACAACTAACTTGATGATTAAAAGATGATTTGACGAGTAAGCTTACGTGGAAAGATAGGGGGATGAGGCGGGAGCGGGACATCCCATGTCAGGAGGAAGCCATCGTTGAAGAGCTGCTTGTAGTTGCTCGCGTTCACCCCCGCCGACGAGCCCGGCACCGGCACCACGACGGCGCGGCAGCCCTTCCGAGCGTAATTGCTGTAGTTCCCGGTGACGTCGTGGGGTATTCCCGCGCGGGCAAACACTACCCACTGGTTCCCGCAGCTCACGTTCGTCGGCGCCAGCTCTCTGTTCTGACGTGCCGCCGCCGCTACTCCGTCCTTCTCCGTGCAGTTGTACAAGATGAGGTTCAGGTTGACGGGGGCGATCTTGAACGGCGGGGTGAGCTTGACTGAGGTGTTATAGAACGGCGCACGGCATTTGTCGGTGGCGTTCAACACGTTGAGCTTGCCCAGATCAACTGCGTAGAAGCTGCGCTCCTCGTAGGAGATGTTGAGGATTTTGAAGCCCTTGTTGAAGGGTATGGTGCTCCGTAGAGATGGGTAACTGTTGTTGGTGCAACCGACGTCGAAGTCCAGGTAGGGATCAGAACTGCATGATCTCCCGGTATCTTTGTCGGTGAGCCAGAACGGGTCGGAGATGTTGACGTTGCCGCACTTCATGGACGAGCAGTCTCCACCCTGCTGCTCCTCGGCCATCACGAGCATCAATGGCAGACACCACACCAGGAGAAAGGCCACGTACCAGCAGCAGTTGGGAGACATCGGAGGAGAAGATTTGGAGAGATTGTGGTGAAGAACAAAGGGTGGGTGGTAGCTTGGGGATTCAGTGGACACGGGCTATGGAAGGAAGGTAGACTACACGGAAGAAATGGTACCGTGGTCGAGATGGAACCACATATATGGGGGCGGCCAGCGAGCAGAATAGTACTGTTGGCTGGTGCATTTGACTAGCAATTGGGGCCAAGCGATCACCGTCCAGGAAGTTTCACAATAATGACGCCATGGACGACTAGTAATCCTTGGCTTCTGAAATTTGCGTGTAACGACTGAGTAAGCCATGACAATGACCCCATGGACTAGCGATGCGACTTGTGACCAGGAAGCTTAGCCTGATCATTTAAATCCTGCCTACTTTGTGCTCTTGTTTGCTGATGAGTAGATTCTGATATTTGTGCAACCTTCACACTTGGCAGATAGCATCCCTCTAACCTTCTTTTTTTAGGCATTACACCTTTTTTTATCCCCAAATTAACCTTAGCATTTGAAAATCAATACTTCTCAACCGACTTAGTAATAGCAAATCCTGTAGAATGGTCAGTTTTTAAAAATAAAAATAAAAGTGAATGTGTGATGGGGTCCAAGACTGAGTTGACGGTGTCCATCGACTGTCCGGCCTCCCCTAGAGCTCCTCCCGACTCGGGGGCGAACAAGGGTACTATCCGGACAAATTTGATGAGCCATGTTGGATGACAGTTTTTTGTCCGGCGGACATATTGGGGAGATTCGGTGACTTGTGTTGGAGGTGCCCAATATGCCGCAATGCCGCAAAAACATATGAGAGAAAATCTAACTTTCTTTTCAAAAAGATGTTATATCAAGTTGGCTAGCATAGGCTATGGTTGTCCATCACCCCACATCTTGGGCAGGAAGTGCCAGCCCGGCTACGACCCATGGGGACAATCAACTTCACTTCAGTATTATCTTCGGTTAGTGACTACTAGCATGAATGCATGATGCATGATTATGGCTTATAGGTAAATAAGTGGGAAGTCCAAGCAAGGGACTCCAAGGCCTAGCTAAGCTACGAACTTGATTAAAAGGTGATCTGTCGGGTGAACTTACGTGCACGGTGAGGAGGTTCAAGCCATGTCAAGAGGAAGCCATCCCCGATGAGCCGCTCATAGTCGCTCGCGTTCGCCCCCGTCGACGAGCCCATTATCGGCATGACCACGGCGTGGCAGCCCTCCAAAGCATAGCCACCGTAGTTCCCGGTCACATCGTAAGGCACTCCCACGCGAACAAGCACCTCCCACTCGTTCCCACACCTCACCATCGTCCGCGCCAGCCCTAGATCGCTACGTGCCACGGCCGCCGCCGCAGCCACCTCCGTGCAGTTGTAGAAGATGAGGTTCACGTTGGCGGGGTCGATCCTAAACGAGGGCCGCAGTTTGACGGAGCTGTTCCAGATGGGCACATGGCAGCTGTTGGCGACTTGCAACACGTGCACCTTGCCCACATCAATGACATGCAGGCTGCGGTCCTCGTAAGAGATATTGAGGATTGCAAAGCCGTCGCTGAAGGGCATAGCGCTCCGTAAAACCGGAGATGTAAATCCGGTGAAGTTGCTGTCGCAGACGGCCACGAAGTCCGGGGAACCACATGATCTGCCGGTCCCCTCGTCGGCGAGCCAGAACGGGTCGGACATGGTGAGGTTGCCGCATCTCTTGGCCGAGCCAGAGCAGCCTTCTCCTTGTTCGTCGGCCGCCGCGGACATCAGCACCAGTGGTAGCCACAAGGCCCGGAAGGACCAGCAGCTTGCGGACATCTGAGCAGAAGATTTGGGAAGATGGACAAAGGGCTACGGCGACTTTTGGGGTGTACTACGTGGTGGAAGGAGGGAAGATATATGGAGGCGCCGAACGCGCCGAGTACTAGTGGCCGGAACATTTGGCTGGAAAGCTGGGGCAAGCGAATCATACTAGCTACACGAAGTTTCCCAACTGAAACCTTGGACTGGTAAGCAGTGACTGCCGAAATTTCCGTGTGACTACTTTTTTTTTTTCCCTTTTGCGGGGCCGTGTACCGACTTTGACGGATTAAGCCATGACCATGACCAGCATGAGCCCGTGATGTGACTGAGACCAGGATACTTGGACTGATCATTTAGGTTCGGGCTACTACTTCTGAAACACCTTTTTTTGCGCCGGTTTCAGCCGGTTTCAAGTACACGCCGGTAATATACACTTGTAAAATAAATACAGGTGCATAAATTTACATCCATCCCAAGCGGGGCCTTAGAAGTAGGAAATCCGTAGAATGGATGTTTTTTCTATTCAAACGAATTACAACAGATTTTTAGGGTTTTTTTTTTGGCAAGAGAGATTTTGTTGGATTTTAGCCTTTAGAATTCGTTCTATGGAACATGTTTCAATCTAAAGATTGGATTCCTTCAACAAGAAAAAGCTTATCACCTTGTGTCCAAATTCCAAAGTAAATTTCTCCTTGGGTCGACTTTAATTTTCCAATTTAAAAGGATGTTAAACCATCTCCAGGCTTTGTATAAATTCATCCATCCTAATAAAGAATCCTAAATCAGTTTCATGTTAACTAAACATTTTTTATCACCTACTATCCAAGTGTTTTCTTTGTAGTAAACAATATGTCTTGACATTCATTGTTATGTGGATATGTTCGAGTACCCGAAACACAAAGGGCTTGGTGACGCACGGCTAAGGCTTGAAACCCGGTCACGGACTACGCCTTACGGTGGACCCCCTTTGCTACAATACATGGAAATGCTAATTTCGCTTCGTGCGGGAGGAAAGCGGGATGCCCTATCAGAATAGCAGATGCACTCGATCATTGCGTTGTTTTGTCATATTTAATTTTTATTTTTATTTTTGCCCCTTTTCTGTTTGGCTTCGTCTCATTTTTTAATTTTATTCTTTGGTTTTTATTTATTTTATATTTTCCCTTTTTACTTTGTGAAGCGCTACCGCCTTATTTTCCAAACTCTCGTTATCTATTTTACTTTACTTTTGGGGCACACAAATGATCATTTTTCTAATGCACATGCACACTTCTTTTCAAAGACATGAAAGTGTGTTTTCAAATACATGAATACTTTTTTTCAAAAATATAAATAAACATCTCTTTTGACATGCATGAATTTATTTTATTGTCATGACCTTTTTCTTAATCTATTGATAATTTGAAACTAGTAAAGAATAGATTTACTTGTGAAATAAAATTATTTATACGCAAATATTTATATAATTTTTTTGATATATGAAAATGTTTTTGAATATACTATATAATTCAAAAGAATTTGGACAATATTAAAAAAAAAGTATGTATGTACTATTAGGCTGCACTACTAGCTGGACCGTTAACACGACCAAGAACATGGTCAGTGGGTCAAAGATTGCCCCTGAAAAATCAGTACAGGCACAGTAGGCCGAATTTGAAAAAAGCCTATTTGCCACTTGGCTGTCAGTGTACCGGTGAACAAGCCCATGATGCGAATTTCGGCCGTAGTGCACAGACTTGAGAAGTTCAGTTTTCTGACTTGTAGGCAGAAAGAAGTTCAGAGTTCAGATTAGGCAGAGGTGAGAAGCTCAGAGTTCAGACCAGAATCAATCCTCGCCCTAGAAGACACTTCTTGTTCTGTACCACACTCCAGTTCAACTTGTTAACGAACTTCTAATGATGTACAGGGCCACGTACCTACCTAGAGCACTTGTTGTTCTCTAGTCTGTACCACACAACAGGCACTGAACGTCCTAGCTTATGTACAAACTTGATTAAAAGATGAGTCGGCGGGTGAACTTACGTGCAGGTGAAGGCGTAGGGACAGGTAGAGGTGCAGGAAGAGGTTCCGGATGATCCCATGTCATGATGTAGCCACCGCTGATGAGCCCCTCGTAGTCGCTCGCCTTGGCCTTGCCCGACGAGTCCATCACTGGCACGACCGTCGCATTGCAGCCCTCTAAGACATAGCCGCCGTAGTTCCCCGTCACATCAAAACGCACTCCCGCGCGAACAAACGTGTTGCTCGCGTTCCCGCATCTCATCTCCCCCAGCGCCCTGCCCTCATCCGTCGGCGGCTTTGTGCAGTTGTAGAAGATGAGATTCAGATTGGCGGGGCTGACCTTAAACGGGAGTGCCAGTTTGCCGGAGGTGTTCCATCCGGGAAAATGACAGCTCTTGGAGTCTTTAAAGTCTTCCTCTTTGTAGACATCGATGACACGCAGATTTCGTTTCTCGTAGGAGATGTTGAGAATTGCAAAGCCAGTTAATCCAGAGCTCTTAAGAACTGGAACACTGTTGTTGCAATTGACCACAAAATCCAAGGGGCCACACGATCTTCCCGCCTCCATGTCGGGGAGCCAGAACGGGTGTGAGATATTGAGGTGGCCGCACCTCTTGGCCGAGCAGCCTTTCCCTTGCCGCACCTCAGGCTCGGCGAGCATCAATGGCAACCGCCATATTACCCAGACGAACACCAAGAGCCAACAGCTTGAGGTAGCCATCAGAACTGAAGATTTGGCCGTGGGGCGGTGGAGATATGTGTATGAGAGGATGCCGTGGTTGAAGAATGATAGTACATGTACTGGACGTCCAGCGAGTGGAGTACAAACGCAAACGGTCGTAGCATTTGACTGGAAAATCGGGGTAAAAGCTATCATCGTCCACTAATTCTCTCAACCATACCTTGGACTTGTAAACCATGCCCTCTGAATTTCTATCCCCATTGACGGGTTAGTCATCAACGTGACCTCTGTGTGCCCGTGATGTGACAGGAAACCAAATGCTTAATTAGGCTGGTTCCTTCTGTATCGATCGGCTGCTTCATCCTCTTGTCGGCTATCTAGCTATAGATTCTACTGCTATCATATATACGACGTTTTATGCCCGACGCTCACACTCGTCCAACGGTGCCGATTAAAACGTCCCTGGACCCTGCATCCGACGATGGGTGAACGCATAGGTTGAAAGACGTCCGACACATAGCAGTTCCGAATTCTAATCTTTGTACAATATTCAAACTTCATATGTATTGGTTGCACATATATCCAACTAAACCAAAAGCAAGATCAAGAAATAAAACACAACTTCATACGGTTCAAGAAATAAAATTGTTTGAATAAACGAATTTAAGGAAAAAAGCGGAAACGCCCAATTTGCGACGAGTGGCGCACTACATGTGCACAATTTATCTGTGTCGAAGAAAGTGGGAGTGACCCTTAACTAGTGATTTCATTAAATGGTATGTTTCCTAAAAAAAATTATACCCCATGTATTGTTCATTAAATGGACGGACCCACACATAGTGTTTACCGGAGCATCCCACCCATTTTTGGGAAGGTTCAGTTCCGCGCTAATTTTTTTGGTTTATTTCTTGTTTAATATATTTCTGGTGCGTTTTCCTTTTTTTATTAAAAAAATTCTTGAACATTAGTTAAATTTTTGAATATTTTGAAAAATATGTACATTTTAGAATTATTTATGTTTTTCAAATTCATGAACGTTTTCAGAAAAATTGATCGGTTTTTAAAATTCATGAACTTTTATAAATTTGTGAATATTTTATGGATTAATGAAATTTTCAAAAACAAAGGGGGAGCCAGTTTTATTTTACACGGGGCTGTTGGTTTTTTCCAAAGGAGGGAGCGCAAGGAAAAAGAGGCGCGAGGGTAACCAGCGAGGCGAAGCATGGTTCTTTGGGCCGTTGCCCATCGCTTGATTTAGTGGCATTTTGCCGCTTTAGGCGTGATATAGGAAGTTCTGGCAGCTCCACCACTAACGACGACCTAAAACACTGCCATTGTGTCAAAAAATGCCCTAGAGAATTAATATAGGCCCATTAGGCTGGATTTCGATAAGTTTATTGCCCACTCGGTGTATAAGCGAACAAGTCCATGATGCCAATTTTCACCGTGGTGCGGACTTGAGAAGTTCAGAATTCACACCATAAATCGATTTTCGCCCTAGAAGCCATTTGTTGTTCAACTCGTTAAACGAATTTCTAATGGTTCACACAACTGCGTACCTACTGAGTGCACTGGTTTGCATGCTTGCCACAACCGAAGTTTCTGGCACGTCAGTCACAACGTGTCAATTTGACTATATAAGAGCATCTCTAGCAGACCCTTTTAAAACGTTAAAAGATGCTCTAAGGGCCGTGCATGCAGGAAGGAGGAAAGTTGCAGCGAACATCTGCCACACGATCGATTTTAGCTTTATCCTCGGCTTGATCGATTATGGAAATCCAGCAAATCACGCACTGAGCATCCTAGCGCTGTGAACTTGATCAAAAGGTGATTTGATGGGCGAACTTACCTGGAGAGGGTAGATCCCATGTCAGGAGGAAGCCATCTTCGATGAGCTGCTCGTAGTCGCTTGCGTTCGCCGAGCCCGACGACGAGCCCATCACCGGCACGACGGTAGCATTGCAGCCCTCTAGCGCGTAGCCGGCATAGTTACCGGTCGCGTCGTGGGGCACTCCCGCGCGAACAAACATGTTGCTCGCGTTCGGGCATCTCACCTCCACCAGCGCCACTGTCTTCGTGCAGTTGTAGAAGATGAGGTTGACGTTGGCGGGGGTGACCTTAAACGGGGGTGCTAGTTTGACGGAGGTGTTCCATCTCGGGAAATGGCAACTTTTGGAGACGTTGAAGTCTTCCTCTTCTTTTTTGAAGTATGTTTCTTTGTGTAAATCAACGGCATGCAAACTGTGTTCCTCGTAGGAGATGTCCATGATTGCAAAGCCGAAGAGCACAGAGCTCCGGAGGACTGCAAAACCGTCTTTGAGGCAAACGACCTCAAAATCCAATGAACCACACGATCTTGTTGTCTCCATGTTGAGGATCCAGAAGGGGTGGGAGATGGTGAGGTTGCCGCACGTCTTGGCCGGGCAGTTTTCCACTTGGTGCTCCTCAGGCCCGGCGAGCATCAGCGGCAACCACCATACTACCCAGACGAACACCAAGAACCAGAAGCTAGTATTAGCCATCGGAACAGAAAGATTTGGCTGTGGCGAGGAGGGGGAGACGTATGCGACTATGAGATACCGTGGTCGAAGCTCGAAGAATGATATATGTGGACGGGCGAGTGAGTGGAGTACCTACTATGGTCGCAACATTTGACTGGAAAATCGGGGCAAAGCTATCATCGTCCCTGTCACCTTTGGACTGGTAAGGCATGGCTTTTGAATTTCTAACCCCATTGACGGGTAAGTCATCAACGTGACCTCCGTGGCTCCAAGTGCCCGTGATGTGACAGCAAACATGATGCTTCAGGTTGGTTCTTGTACCGACTACTCCACGCTCTTGTCGGTTATCTAGCATCTAGTTTCTAATCTTTGGGCGAAATTCATACTTGGCAGGTAAGAATATCCGGTAAAAATTAGTTTCATCTGCGTACACTGATCGATTATTGAGGTTGCATATTTCAGAATTTGGGTGCAATTTCTTTCCTCTCAGGGACAAGTCCATTCCACGGGTCCTCGTTGGTTCTACTCGCAGTCCTCGTTTTCCATAGGCAGGCTCAGGCTCCACATTACGGAGCGGGAGGGCATGGGGTCCTCTTTGGCGGCAACTTGGCTTGAGTGGCTAAACGAGGTCCGGCCATTTCTCTTGACGGTGAGTCTCCTTCTTTGTCGGTAGTCTAGGTTGCTCTGTGTGGTAGGGTGTGGACGCTCCTGCATCCTTTTTTTTTTTTGAGGGAAGGACGCTCCTGCATCCTTATTCTTGTATTTTTCTTGATCTGCTTTATAAAAGGATCTCCTCATCATCATTTATTGCTTTGGTTGTGTTGCTTTATATATAAAGCGGGGTAAAAGCCCTTCTTGGTAATTTCAACCCAGAGTTCACATTAATTTATTTTGCAGTGTTTGCTTTTGTGATGCGTGATTCGGCTGAGTTAGAAATAATAAAATTCTTCAAGGACTTAGGAGCATAAAATTCTTCTAATAACTTTTTTATTCGAACGGATTTTAAATTTGAGACTATATGGGGAGGGGGGGGGGGATTTGTATTGAAAGCCTGAAATTCGACACTTGAACTTTTTCCATAACTTTATGCTATCTCCGGGGGACAAGACCACTGACTTATCATCGTGGGCTAACACACCATAATTCAACCAAAATGGGCTAACATACCGTACTGTAAAAAACAATACTCCCTCCGTCCTATAATGAGTAAATTGGGTGTAATAAGATCTTATATTACGGGACGGAGGGAGTAGGTAATACAAGATTCCACGGAGCGAAAAGAAGTGCTAATTTGAGAAGCAAGCTTACCGGTCTGCCATGTGAGGAGGAATCCACCACTGATAAGCTGCTCGTAGTTGCTCGCATTCGCCATGCCATGAACGCCCAGCACCGGCACGACGGTGGCTTCACAGCCTTCCATATGGTATCTGGCATAGTCATCGGTACCATCATAACGCCCTCCTGCGCGGACAAATGCGTTGCTCTTGTTGCCGCATCTTATCGGCATCAGCGCCCTGTCCTGACGTGCCACCGCCGCCGCCTCCGCCTTCGTGCAATTGTACAAGACGAGCTTCAGATTGATGGGTTCAACCCTAAACAGGCGGCCCAGTTGGTCGGAGGCGTTCCAGCTCGGAACATGGCAGCTGTTGGTGTTGTTGTGCAAGTGATTCCGCTTGTATAGATCGACGACGCGCAAACTCCGTTCCTCGTAGGTGATGCGGATGATTGCAAATCCGTCGTCCCCAGAGCTCCGAAGGACTGGGCTGCCGTTGCTACGGCAAATGACCTCAAAATCCAAGGGGCCACATGATCTTCCGGTCTTGTTGTCAGCGAGCCAGAATGGATGAGAGATGGTGAAGTCCCCGCACCTCTTGGCCGGGCAGCCTTCCCCTTGCTGGTCCGCCGCCGCCATAATCATCAGTGGCAGCCACCAAACGTAGGCTAAGAACCAGCAACGCCGAGGAGGCATCGGACAATAAGATTTGGGAAGGCTCCAATGACCAACTGAATCGGTGATCATGGTTTTTGGGGCTGGGGACTGCTGTGAGGTTCCGAGGTGTGAATGATATACATGTGAACGAGCGAACAGCCGTGCTATGGCGGGCATGTTTGACAGGGAAATGGAGGCAACTTATCATCGTCCACAAATTCCCCCAAATGACCACTTGCACTTGGACGGGCAAGCCATGACGTATGAATTTGTAACCCATTGACGGGTAAGCCAGCCATGCATGACCACTGTGAGCCCCTGATGTGACAGGGATCGTGATGCTTAATCAGATTCTTTCGGTTCCGGCTACCCTGTGCTCTTGTCGTCTATCTAGCTAGACTCTTGTCTCAGCACAACACTCACACTTGTACTTGACTGGGCATTCTACAGATTGCGTGCACAAATCCAGTTCAAACCATTTAGTTTGCGGTATTACTTTTTGTTGCGTGCAATTTGGCTGAGCGAGTTAGAAATAACGAATTCTACGAGGATATAGAAACATCAAATATTAGGCTCATGCATGGATATGTCTGAAGACGGCCTCTGAGAAGGTGCTGGTCAAAATGACTCGAAAATAAGGTGAAGAATTTGAGATGCATGGATATGTCAAAACGAACACGCCGACTGACGTTTGAGGGACCATATTAACTATGTGTGGCTGTAGATGCTCAAATTGAGCTGAAAGAACCAAAGACAAATACGCCCATTAACCTGTACTAGTATAGTGCCCGTGCGTTGCCACGGGGTGATAAAATATGTGTGCAAAGAAAAATGTCATGTGACATGAGTCATAGATTATTCACATGTGATGATATCTCATGGGCCTAAAGTGGTAGATAAATGCATCTCATCGTCAGACTCTCCCCTCCCTCTTCTCGATGCGACACTCTACTTCCTTCCACGACCCTTTATCCTCTGTGTTATCTTCCCCATCCTCCAACTTGCACAATAGTATTAAGTGCCTTGTCCAACCCCGGTTGGCCATCCCTAATAAAGATAATGAAGAGGGCAACCAAATGTCTGGCGAGAGATGGAAATTTACGGTGATATCTAATACTATGCAATCAAATTCCAAGAAAAACTCTGTATAGCTTCTATCAAGATTGTCACACAGGAACATTCCACACACTAAAATGTGATGGTACTTCAATTGTACAGTACAATATTCAAAATGCAGCTCTAGTCATCAAGCCGTGCAACTGCACGGGCTTTCAGAATAATGGTTTGTATCATGCTATATGTATGGTCAAGATTAAGAAGAAGCATCATATCTGAACCGCTAAAGCAATATACTTCCACTCTCTGTCGAGCCCTCGAACCCTCCATGGTCAATGTTATACAGTCTATCACAAACTTCAAGAAAAGGACCATGCTCCATACAACTCAAGATTTTAGCTTTTTTACTTCTCGGGCAACCAACGAACATTAATATCTGCCTTCCAAAGTGCATATATACAATGGAACAACTGAAAAATATGAAAGAAATAGATTGTAACACACATATGTATGCAACCTAATTTTTTTGTATTTAGGATTTAGGGGTGAATTTATACCCATAAGAATAGAGGAATGATTGATTGCAAAAGAGCTACTGAGGAAACATCACAAGCACCATACTCGTTAATTCCACTCACAAGCTTTTCCTCGCAGAATTTCACAACTTTATAAGACATCATTAAAAATGGCCGTCAGTAAATAGATTGCTCAATCCAGACATCGTATGAGCACATATTAAACATTCCAAACCATCTGGATCCATATTCTGTGTAGAAGAATCAAGTAGACATGGAAGTATACACATATATTGTTGAATCCTATAAAACATTTAAAAGGTAATCAGCCACATTTTGACATCATTCTCTCAGCTCTCAAATAAGTGATAATGTTTGCCTACACAATTTGCAAGGTACAAATTAAACCATAGACTTGTAGTAAGAACATAATCATAAAGTCATAAATAAATTTGTAGAATTCTTCTATCAATATTCCTGTGAATTCTGAACTATAAAATTCAACGTGTTTAATGCTATGAAGAATAGCAACTTGAATTCCAATGAGGCAAGTATATATATATAGTTATATACACATGCAGGTCTCCAATTTCAAATTTATTGAAACAGGAGCAAAAATAACCTATGGATTGGTGCGCTGTTGTCGCTCGCTGGTGTTTTATGTGGCTCGACCACACTGGTGCTCTGTTCCTATAGAAGCGCCGAAGACTGAGAGGATGCGACGCTGCCAAGCATGGCCTACAGCCAAGCAAATGGCTCCCATAATAAATCATGCTCTATAAGGAGAACACATCCCATTCCTTGGCGAGAAGAAATTGTTTGACTGATATTCTATACCATCAACAAATCACTTTCAAGAACAGAATGATTGTGAGAGTGCACATTGAAAGAAAAAACGTGTACCACCTGGTAAAAATAATTACCTATTTAAACGGACTGAGAAAGAAGCATCTTGGACTCTGGAGATCTGGTCAGCATAGTGAAGAGGGAAATGCAGGTAATGGGATACCCTGCTGGCCTCACCGAAAAATTAAGTCCCTCGATTCTCTGATTCATCACCTTGAGGGAAAAGAATACAAATCCCACAACATTACAGAAGACCCAAAAAGATAGTACAAATTCAGGGAAAAAGAATAGAAAACAATTACATACCCATTGGCCATTCATGTTGGCCACCTCCAAGCTCGTGACGTTCTCCAATAGCACATCGGCCACGGTCGTGGCGCCAGGCTCCACCGCCCAATGCAGGTAGAGCGCTATGTGCTACACATGATGTTTTGTGTTTATGCTCCCCAATGTTGTAAAAAGACCAACAAAACACACACGCATGTGAATGAACTCAAGTAAGAGCATGACCAGAAGTTCAATTCAGTAACAAAAAAACAAAGTTAAACAATTCAGTTACTTGTTGCAAAAAAATACCGAATACTGCTGATCAGAGAAACAACTAATGCAAAAAACGCTTGTACAATTACAGGCACTCGAGAAGCATGTCATGCAACAATTCTTATATATCAAAAACACAAGGGAACACGAATAAAAATAGTTTAAAAGACAAGCAAGTGGGTTGAATAATTGTAAAAGTAACTTTTATGCACATTACACATAGAAGGGCATTACGAAAAGAGGCAACCTTTATCTAATAACTTGCTTGAATTCTTACATGACATCCACTTACTGATCAAGACTTTTGAGAGACCATAGGTAACTATTCATTATTCTACCGCAAGTATGAAGTACATCCTACTTTCTCTTCCTAGCCATGTCCAATTGCATGTAGAATTATAGCTGGACATCCATAATGGTATCTACAATGCAGCTAATTATCTATCTACCTTCCATCAGTAAATCACAAAAGCGGTCATTAAGAAACATACAAATATCCTGAAGAAATGCAGAACCACAATGTTATGTCATACTCAAGAAATTCTTGGAGCAACCTGAACCGAACAACATTTCATGTATTAGATTTAATGAAAGTACTCCCTCTGTAAAGAAATATAAGAGCGTTTAGATCACTACTTTTGTGATCTAAACACTCTTATATTTCTTTACAAAGGAAGTGTTTCATAATTTAAAGTTTTAAACCATGTACACAACTTGGCTTCTTTCCATCACCTACGAATATTATCACTTCCCACGGGGGCCTCAAGAACCATACTCCAAACCCAGACATAGCAACAAAAAGCACAAACTTTGGGAGAAAAAATGTGAACATCTAAGAAAATTCCTCCCATTTGCAGTTGGTCAAATCTGCAAGAGGAAAACAAATATGAAGAAAAGAACCAACTTTGGGAGAAGAGTACAGGACCAAACAAATGGATTGACAGCTTACATCATCGATCTTTTATGTGTCCATGCATGCCTGCATGCGAGACCCGGCCCAATCCCGAGCATAACACTGTAACAATCCTCACTAATGGTGACACACCAAATAGGTTAGATACTGGGATTCAAAGAACAAAGCAAAGGGTAAAGTTGGGAGATGAATTAAACTCAGTTCTGAACATGCCTCCCTGCACACTCTACTGACCTCTCTTTACAAAGGCTATGCCTTCCTTTCTAGCTAGGCATAGCCAACACGTGATGTGGCACGTGACGCAGCCACAAATGACTTGGACCTAGCTCCTTCAGTTAACTGCATGTTGTCTTCAGTCTGACTCGCGGTTAACTACATGTTGCCTTCAATCCGGCTCATTTATGTGAGAAACACCTGTAGTTTCAAACAAACCAAGCATAATTAAATACCAAGACCCAAAATTAGGGATCAACAAGCACATGTGAGGCTGCAGTTGTATCCGAAGAAGTAGCATAGTGAGGACGCTGCTTGATGCTCCACATTGAAATGGTAGTCCATGGACATCTCCTGCGCACAATTATAGCAGTAGCTTCTACAATTAGCAACCACCCTTCCAGCGATGCATATATGCAATTGGATAGAAGCTGGACGCACAGAACTCCCAGCACGCCTGCACGAGTTTGTGAGGCCTGGGTTGCCGAGGAGCAGCAGCACCGTGTCGCCAAGGAACTCCGGTGCGGGACATCGAAGATGGCGACGAACTCGCAGCAACGGGCGTAGGCTTGACATGAGATTAATTGCGCCATCCTAAATTCTTAACTACTACCATCTCTCAACACGTTGTCCGACCAATCGTCTTTAGCCTAAACAACCTATGTTAACTAAGCAAGCCATGCGTGTGTACATACCTCTCATTGTCCATCGGAATCTGGACGAGCACCATGGGGAAGCAGGTCGTGGAACTGCCAGCCTCTTTGTCTCACGGCAGAATGGCCGGCCGTCGCCGCCTTGTCTCATCTTCACGGCGGCGCTAACGTACCATCCCGAGGAAGACCATCTGGGCGAGCACCATAACGGACACGGCCATGCATAGCATCACCGCGCCTCTGAGCAGCGGCATGGAGAGGGCGCTCCATGCCCGGAGCTGCAGGGCAGCGGCCACCGGCGGCGAGAAGAAAATGGTCAGCAGGTCGACCGCCGTTCATGTTGCAAAGGAGGAGAAGTCGACAGAGGCGGGGACGCGGGGGATGGAGCGGAAGATTTGTACTCCCTCCGGTCCTTTTTACTCTGCACATTGGATTTACTGAAAGTCAAACTTAGCTAAGTTTGACCAATTTTATATTAGAAATTATTAGCATCTATAATATCTAATAAATATAATATGAAAATATATCCGGAGATGAATCTAATGATGTTGGTGTTGTTATGTAAATGTCAATAATTTTTTATGTAAACTTGGTCAAAGTTGGATGAGATTGACTTCACACAAACCTAATATGCAGAGTAAAAAGGACCGGAGGGAGTACGAGAGATGGTGGCGGTGGTGAGAGGCGGCGGCCATGAGGAGGAGAATCGCGAGAAGATAGGATGAGAGAAGTGCGAAAAGAAGGGACGGGCGGTGGCTGATGGGGTGGAAGACGAAACTGCTTCGTAGACTCCCTGCGATCGGGTGGGTTGGGACTTGGAGCGGAGAGGGGAGATCGTGGGTGGGCATCACGAGGGTAAGGGGATCAGGAGCGAGGGGTCGGGAGAAGAAGGAGGCGTAGGGTCGCAACTATTTTTTTTCTTCACGAGGAAATCGTGTGAGGGGAGGAGCCAACGAGGCGGGGGGAGCGAACGAGGTTGAACCATCACGACGTTCGATCCTGCTTTAATAGTAGAGATATGTCGGAAAGTCTCACTCTTATTGACGACTGGGTTCTAACCGTATTGGGTAAATGCACTATGCCAAACTCTGAATCTTCCGAAGAGAACTTTTTTTGAAGAAAAAAACAGAAGAACTAAGGGTGTCTACAACGCCGACCCTCAAACCACCTGCAACCTGCAAAGGTCTGGACCGTGCAGTCCGGACATGTTTTGTCATTCAGTATGGTCCTGCATTGGTTCGTTCGGCGATCTGGACGCATCTTTCCCTGCAGACCGGAGGTAAACTGGGGACGCTTTGCGGGCGTCCGGACCGCTGCCACGCCCGTGTCTGACTAAACTGGCCCACCATAAACCCCTCTCCCGCACTCTCGTGTGTTCCCTCCCGAAGCCAGTTGCTCGCATTCATGCCGGACCAGAGCTGACGCGACCGCTCACTGGGCTACATAATTAGTTAGATATGTCAATCTTACAAAAGAGAAGTATTACTTAATAATGTCCTTTCAAAAAAATATTTCTTTTCTATTTCTCTTTGGCAAATCAACTAATACTAGACCAACACTATTTGGCCGTAGTGGCATTTTTATGCAAAAGTGTAATTCTAGGGGTTCTATTGGCAAAGTTCAGGGACTTATGTGTATTTTTTTCATTTCTTTTGGGTGCTCTTTTGTAGTAAGTTGGATTGTCCCACCGCTTTGATAATGCATCTTTCCCGGAGTAAAGCTGGTTTACTGATCGATCCAACATGGCAATTTGTGATTAAGCATTGGTGTGGGTACTTGGCCCGCCCCTCGAAAATCGTCCGTTGCCCGTAATGTGGAGTATGATACTACTTCCTAATTGAAAGTATCATAAGTTAGTATTTCCTCCGTCTAGGTGCATTAGGCATCTTAGAAGATGCACCACAACCTAGGCGTGAGGAAATTGGGTTAGGAGAAAATTGAATAGCCGAGGAAGCCAATCACATCATTCCTTTCTCAACTAAAAACATGTTATTAATTAGGAGACTCCTTCAAATCTCAATAGCGTGATGCAGAAATTGCATCCATTGGTCCTCCAATTAATAGATGGAGTCTAATTAATATGCATGCAACTAGTACTACTGTTTCGTGCCTTATCGTTTTGAAATTACTACTCCCTCTCTCTCAGTTTACAGGGCGTGCGCGTACCCCTATGTCGTCAATTTGGCCAACCTAATACAAGTCATATATCACAAAAAATATATCAATATAAAATTCAAATGTTCTATTTTCAAAAGATATAATTTTTGAGTTATATAGATTATATTAGGGTGATAAAAAATTGGCAACCTAGGTGTACACTTAGGACTTTTAACTGAAACAGAGGGAGTATTTGATTTTTGTTAGAATTACTACTTGATTTTCGTTAGAAGCCTAATGCACCGAGACGGAGGGAGTATCTTATACTCCCTAGATACTCCCTCCGTCCCAAAATAAGTGTCACAACTTTATACTAGCTCTAATACAAATTTATACTAAGCTCAAGACACTTATTTTGGGACGGAGGGAGTATTGCCTTATTAATTATCACGCAGGACACAAAATAGTATACATTTAATATGATACGGTATCATGAAGTATCATGAAGTGATACCATATCCTCTCTTTACTTATTTAATTTTGTGTCACGTCATAAAAAAATCTAGTTGACATGCATGATATCACTTATCATACTTCCATTACGACGAGTCTAATTGCACGTTGTCATAGCATTTTTCCGTCTTTCCAGACACTTCCCCTGCTAAAAACAAAGATGCATGTTTGGCACACAAATTGTCAAACACCCAACTACAGTTCGGCGCACAGAATAGGGGCTCCTTTGATTCACAGGGTTTGGGAAGCGTAGGAATAGGAAACGTACAGAAATAGGATGTACTATCCACTTAAATCCTACATCGTGTAGCAAAACAGAGAATTTTTTCCATGAAGTCCAACCTCATGCTTGTTTTCATGTGAAAATGAACTAAGAAGTTCCTATAGAATTGGTTCCTGAAGACTACAATCATGCGAATCAAACAACATGTAAAGGAAAAATTCCAGAGGGTGTCGATCCTGTAAAATTCCTATGCAGATCCTGTAAATCAAAGAAAGCTAGAATTTTATTCAGCTTAGGGACCCGACATTATTCATGGCTCAACATTCTAAACAATGCAGATATAGTAATAGTACTGGTTCCGAGACAAAAGCTTCTTAGTGGGGAATATTAGGTGGAAGCATCCGCTTTTGCAGAGCACGCGCTTTACGCCTGGCGGCTCGATCGCCGGGCCGGCCCTCGCTGCCGTGGATCTCGATCACAGCGTCCCCAGAGCATGCCTGGCCAGGGACGTCCCGCACGCGGCGGCCGCGACGACGAGCGACCGGCCGGCCCCCGAGGAGCTGGCCACGGCGGGGCGCACGACGGTGCCGCCGATCTCCCGCCGCGGAGCTCCTGCTCGATGTCGAGCTTGGTGGGGCAGATCTCGAGGTGCTCGGCAAGCTGGCGGCGGTGGCAGAACTGGAGGTGCAGTCGGAGGCGGTCGTAGACGCGCCTCTGCCAGAAGGAGGTGATGCAGTTGTCGTCGGGCTCCGGGACGACGAAGGGCACGCCCTGCTCCCGGAACATCTCGGCCAGGACGATGCCCGCCGGCCCGGCGCTGAGGACGATGGGCCCGTTCACCCACCCGCTCCGAGGGGAGGAGAGGCCGTCCGCTCGATCAAATTCACCAGGGACGAGGAGCACCATCGCTGATTTGGTTGGTAGGTATCTCTCGGGTCAGTTGAGCTTCCAACTGTTGGGTCGATGTTGTTCGTTCAGGGGGTGGGCGTGGGCGTGGGCGCCGGCCGGGGTGGTTAAAAAGGGGAGACGTGCGTGGGAGAGTGGAAGCCAGGAGGGATGAGAAGAAAAAAAAAGCCAACTCGGGTGTGTGTGTCCCTGGCCGATAATACCAGACTCACGGGCAAAAGGAGCGACGGACTTTCACGGACTCTCGCGTTTCCTCCTCTAATTACCCCCTGATTTTAAGTGATGGGCCCGCCTCACTCACTTAATTCTCAACCAATCAAATTCTAATCACTCCGTAAATCCCCTGTAAAAAGCCCGTGTGTCAATAATTCTAAACGCAATCATGGAGGGTTCACGGGCCTAGTCCAATTTGCAAACGGGCGCTTGCAGCCGAGTTATCTGGGCTTGGCCCGTTTTGCTTTTTCTTCTTCTTCTTCTGTTTTTAGAGAAACGCATGAACGAGGGATCAAACCCACAACCTCGTCGCTGCGAGCGCTATGCTCTAGACACTCGGCCATGACCGCCTCTATTAATAGATATTTCAGTCCACTTATTTATATCCACGTCGGTTCGGTTTTTTCTTTTTTCTTTTTCTTTTTTCTTTTTTGCTCATCCTTTTTTTCAAATAATGTGAATTTTTTTTGAAATCAATGAATTCCTTTTCAATTTCGATGAACTTTTTTAGATCCGATGAACCTTTTTTGAAATCTGATGAATTTTTTTTCAAATCCAATGAACTTGTTTCAGATTCGGTGGACTATTTTCAAACTTGATGAACAATTTCAAAATCAATGAACCTTTTTTCAAATCCGATGGATTTGTGTTTTCAAATTTGATGAATTTTTTTCCAAAACGATGAACTTTTTCAGATTCGATGAACTTTTTTCCAAAATATATGATTTTTTTCCAAAACAATGAACTCTTTTTCAAATTTGATGAACTTTTTTCAAAATTGATGAACTTTTTTTCTAAAATGATGAACTTTTTTCAAATTCGATGAACTATTTTTATTTTTGTGATTTTTTTCATTTAAATTTGTCAACCTTTTTTTAACCGGTGAACATTTTGTTGTGAATGATTTTTTTAATTCCTGATTTCTCAAAAAAGCATACACAATTTTTTTTGAACAGTCAACGGTCCACTAGTCACAACGTTCAATTGGTGAACATTGTTTCTCAAATAAGTGAACTTGTGCGCAATAGTTTTTTTTAAACTGTGCGCTGCTTTCGATCACTAGCACGTGAGTGATACAGTGGTAGCTAATCTCTTGCAGTACTGTCGCGACATGAGTTTGATCCCCAGCGACTCCCGCTTTTCTGTATGTTTTGCGCTACAGTATTTCGGTGCATTACGTGTTCATGGGCCGGCCCAGTAGGTTCTCCCGTGAGCGCCAGTTTCGCTTCGGGGCACTTAAGGCGCCGACTAGAACCTCCCCATTATCTCTCCCCCCTCCCCCTGCCCTGATTTTCAGAGGGGTGGGCCCGTCTCCATCTCTAATCTCCAATCAACCCCTGCCAGCTAGCACCATTCCTTAAAGTATGTAAAATATGTTCGTTGTTCTAGCATTGCTCGTCAGTATTGTCTTCGGTGTACTATGTCGGTCCGTTTGTCGGTGCCATCGCCAAGGCAAAAGAGCGGCACCAGTGCCTCGTCTGGCTAAACAGCCAACCAGACCGCAACGTGGTGTTCCTCTGCTTCATGAGCATAGGCGCACAAAGCCACCGCTAGGAGCAACTCAGGGCCACCGCGCGCGTTCATGGCGCACTGCGGGTGGAACTCGGTGCTGGAGAGCGTCACGGCGGGCGTGCCGATGCTGCGCTGGCCACTGTACGCGGAGCAGAAGATGAACAAGATATTCATGCACTACAACAGGAACCCCCATATAGCAACGCATTTTTCCGTATCTAAGAGTCCATATATGCATTGCTAGTGTCTTTACCAACGGTTTTGGATGCGTAGCCTTATTCAGTGTTGCTAGCGCATAATGCATCGCTTATATTGTCGTTGGTAAAAGGGACTGTTGCAAGACTACAACAGATAAAATGGACTTCTACAACGCTTCTATATGTTGGTGGTTAATGCACAGGAATCAAGATCCCATTGCTTGGCAACAAAAAATTTCCAATGCTTCAAGCGTTGAACATATATCATGTGAATAACATTATTTTATATATTAAATTGATGCTCCACGTAATGGTCATAATTATGTATTTTCAAGTGAAGAAAAAAACAAGAGAATATAGTCATGAGAGGAAGAAATCATATCATAGATAAAGTTGTTGGATTACAATAGTGGATATTGAAGGAGGAACATCATCCAAATGTGATGCATGATCTAACTATTTTCTTGACAACGAAGCTTAAACTGAAAGCATCCATCAACATCCCTACAACTTAACTAAAACATAAACGAGGAACAACATCCAACAGGAATGTCATCCCGACAACTTAACTAAAACTGAAAGCATCCATCATCATCACCATGAATTGGAACATCGAAGTATACTCGCCACGCACCCATATACTAATCCATTTATCTTCTGAATCTGCAAACAAGAAAACAAAATGAACTGTTAAAACACAATGCATTGACATTATGCAAGTAGTAATTGAGGCAAGATATTAGTCATGTACAAAGGTTGAAGGCCACACACTCTTTGTTTTTTATGTATTACCGTGAGTATTGCAGTTTTGCAACTCCGTACCATATTTTCAGTTTTCACAAGCACCATATCGAAATGCCCTATCCAGAACTCATTTCTATTTTCTGCACCATCAAGTTTAACTTTAGGATCACACCATACACTTGGAGCAAGAGCTACGTCCTTGTTACGGTTTTTCAGTCTCTTCAAGAATAATATAGTTCCTGCCTGATAGAGAAGATCAAAGTTACCATTGTCAGAATCATCCTCATCACCCATGAAAAACAGAGTGAAAACAGGGGAACATATTAAATGAATTTCAGCACTTACATGTAGTTCACTCGCACCCAACGAACTCAGCAAACCACTACCACTTTGAGCACTTACTTGCTACAGTAGTACCTTTTGTTGTTCTTTTGGTCTGGATAGCAGTCTTATAGCAAAGAAGTAATAAACAAATAAAAAATCCAGCACTATAGTTTGAACAGTTTGTATGTGATTATGGAAAGATACTAGCTTCTTTACAGCAGAAGTTTTTTCTGCCTGACGCTACACTAGTACATTTTTCTAGTTGTCATGCACTGCCACCATTATGAATCATAGTTTCTTTGTTCTAGGATAAAAGGATACACATCAAGTTCTGGGTACTGTATATGTAATTGCAAAAGGTGTAAGCGTAACAACTTAATCCCCGGCAACCAAAGGGTATTTAAGTAAATAAACCTCCTTATCTGGAACAGAATGGTTGTTTGATGCTTGCAAATCTGCACTATTGGAACCACTTGGCTTGTTCTGTAAATTATTGGGTCATTTTTTAACTAGTCGGAGTCCATCAGCCGAAGGAGCAAGCATTTTCTACAGATAGCATAACAAAGTATTAGTTGAGACCATAATTTTTTGAGTGAAATTTGAGGAATTTTATTGTGTACTTCGACAAGATACATACTTTTATGTTTGAGTTATGTCCATCAACCGAAGGTTCAAGCCCAATTGTAGCCATTGGATCCGAAATTTCCTATCATAGAAGTACAGAAAGGTTTGTTCAGAAAATAAATGAAGGTACTAAACTTACCATCTTCATTTTCATTTGCATTAGCATCATCACAATCTGTGAAGCCTTCTTCATCATTGGTAGCTATTTCTTGGACATCTTTTTCAGCAGAATTGTGATGTTCGATTGATTCTTCCGCCATATATTCCTCGTTGGATTCAACAATGTTAGTTCTTGTCAGTGACATATCTGCTGCAAAATGAAAATGACCAAAAGTTTAAATAAATTATGAAAATACATTATAGGTTGTTTGGGAAACTACAATATAGAGCACACAGAGACCACGGGTTCAGTGTTTTTCTTTACAGTGTGTTTATGTATCATTTTACAGAGTCTCAAGAAATGTAATTGGCAAGCAAGGATTTAGTAATTTCTAGTAGTCTTACAGTGAAATTTTTTATATTATTTAGAGTGTCACAATAAATGTAACTCTACTGCAAAGCTATAGTAATTCTGAAGTTTAGTCGTAAATGGTTTATTTTTCCTAGTGTTTTTAGCTGAATTTTGTTTGCTGCTCCCAGTAGGTACTAAACTACTTTGTTTGGTATGCGTGCAGTGTATTATACCACAAAGCTTTTTGAAATTGTGAACCCTAGCATGTGAGCTTGTTTGCTGCACCGAGTTTTTTAGTAAATGCATCTACTATATGATTTTTCAGTGTGAAAGAAATGTAATTGTGCTGCAAAGTTGTAGTACATTTTGAGCCTAGAACCATTAGGCTCGTCGTTGTTCTGTTGCTCCCTAAACTAATGTTGCTTTGTTTACCGTGCATCTATTGTATATTTTACAGTGTAGCAAGGACTACTCTCATACATAGTTATAGAAAACTTGAATCATACTCCCTCCGTCCAAAAATACTTGTCGCAGAAATGCTTGGATGTATCTAAGAACTAAATTACATCTAGATACATCCATTCCTCCGACAAGTATTTCCGGACGGAGGGAGTAGCATCCAAGTGTGTTTTGCTGCTCCCAGTTTGATACTAAAGTATTGTTTATAACAGTGCCAATTTGATTCATTTTTACAGTGTGCTTTTACGTACTAAGATTCGCTGTTATTTGGTCACAGCAATTGGTGGTGGTTTCAAGTTTACAATGACATTGATCTAATCAGATATGTGGTTCATGTTTCTTCTTTTTTGTTTGTCATCACTCATCAGACTGTGAAGCAACTCAATGGGGAAAGAGAAAAAACTGACATGGACATACAGATGACAAGTACAAAGATGGACAAATTGTCCGGCTCCAATTGGCCAAAAAATCTGACT